TTCTCTACACGTTTTCTACCTTCTAACTCAGCCACAACTCCATATTCAATTAATTACACATAAAAAGAGTAGGGTAGAGTCTCCCTTACCTTGGATTGAAGACTCACACTCGAATTTGACCACGGACGTGCTCTCTACACAGATTGCGGCCTAAAACACATGGAAGAACTCCATGAGAACCCAAGGAAACCTAGAAATAAAGAAAAGGGGATGAGAAACGGAACCCTGACCATTAAAACTTACCTCCAAGCGTTCCCCACAAGAATTCAACCTTTAATCAAGCTCTCGAACGACTTTTGAGGCAATTAATCGGTGGAATAGGGCTTTGGGTCGAGAGGATTGAAGAGATTTGGGAGGGAATTTGAGAAATGAATCTCAAATCCCTAAACCCCTTTTAAAACCCCTCTGATCACGATACTCTTGCTACAGCGAGATATTCTCGTTGCAGCGACACCCTCTATCGCCACAGCAAAAATTTCTGACAAAACTGTATTCTGGTTTCTGCAGAATTTTGCTACAGTGAGACTGCTCCCAAAAATGCACCGCAAACTGTCGCTTTATCGCTACAGAGAGACGTCTCTCGCTGTAGCGAGAAAGCAACAATTTCAGTCCCTCCTCCCAGGGCCCTCTCGCTATAGCGAAAATCCTCTCGCTGCAGCGAGGATAGCCCAGTATTACACCTTCAATCAATCATACACCCACGAATATATATACATATATACATATATATATATATATATATATACATATATATATATATATATATTCATACTCATTACACACAAAATCACCATCATTACGCCTTCAATGCAAATTTACAAAATCCATTTATATTTATACGCACACATATATACACATTTATACTTATATAAATAATAATAATTAATATCATAAAATTCGGGGCGTTACATCAAACATTTCAAACCATATATTAATTTTAAAGACATGTATTCTAATTATGCTTTAGAGGAAAACTAGACTAATTGTTAAATAAAAAAAAAATGCAACCATTGTTCTTGTTGTTATAGAAGAAATATTAGTAAAAGAAATATTCATGCTAAGAATGAATTTATTTTTTTATATTCAAAATTAGCTTTGAAATTTTAAAGAAGATAATTTTTTTCAGCTCTTTGGTTTCCAATAACTACCAATAAAGGGGTTAAAGATATACAATTTTTTTAGAAAGAATGAAGAATTTGAAATATTTATTTTAAATGAAGATGATAAGTCATTACGATTTACATTAGATATAATATGTAAAGAAGTTTTTAAAAAGATAAAAAAATTAAATATTATTTAATCTTATTTAAATTTTAGTTTTTAAACTTGTTATATATTTATTTGAGAAATTATTAAGTATACAGATATATATATATATATATATATATATATATATATTGTGCAAGAATTAACAATAATTCATTAATTATTTAATCATATATCAAATGGATCTAATTTATAATATTGAAAAATTAGTTAATTTAAATACTATCCAAATTATCTTTATTTCAATTATAAAAAAAATAGTTTATATATGTGACTCGTGAAAATATAATTTTCTTATGATAGTGAAAAATAATAAGGTTGAGATCAATAATTATAATAATTTTTCATATCAGATAATCGCAAATACTCTTATTAAAAATCATGTTAAAAACCTTTTATATTTATATGCACTGTTATAAATAAAATATAAAAAATAAATATTATATAGGCTTATCTTAAACAAAAGCATCATCCAAATTAATTTAATAAAAAAATTCTGTTTAATATTTAACTTTAATTTGACATAATTTTTTTCTTAATTTTAATAATATTAAATTAAGTTTTTAGAATTTATCATGCCAAAAATAATGTTAGTATAAAATTTAGACAACTTGATTTTTTTTTTATTTTTTATAAATAGTATATTTTTAAAAAAAATTGATATAAAATATTATTCCGTCCAATGCACAAGTAAAAAATTATATATATATATATATATATATATATTACACATTTATGACTGTAAAATTGTATATTTTTGGATCCGGTTAATATTTATGAAACAATTTCTTCAAACTTATTACGCCAGCTCAAATAATTTTAGTGAAGATACTGAATTTAGAAACTGTTCCTTAACATACGATACAAATTACGCAACTCCATTATAAATAGTCTTATATATGTTGGTACTGTACTCACAAGAATTGTTCTACATGAGTATAAAATATTTTTAAAATGTCAAAAAATTAGTATAAATTGTAAAAAAAACAAACAAACAAAAAAGTGTAACAGATATATAATAGAAAAAGACTAAATACTTTTGTTGTCTTAATGATTTTTTAAGATGTGTTTAAGAACACGAAATACAAGTTCATAGATAATAATTTTTTATTAAAAATAAAAAATATCATAAGATCTAATGCATTGATGATATTAAATGTTTTTAATTTTTAGTAAAAAGTTAGTATTTACTGAATTTAATTTTTGTCCTTAAACACATTAAAAAAATATTTTAACTATGCAAAATTTTCACAAATTGAATTGGTTAATATGTTTTAAACTTTTTCTACACATCACTTACAAACTAATTAACGTCAAAATTTACTTAAAATAAGAAAAAAAAATCCCTCTTTTTTAATATTCAAATTTTCCCTCTTTAAAAACATATCTTTTTCAATTTATCAAAAAATTTTCTAATATTTTTACTTTTCTATTTAAATTTATTTTATATTTCAAATACATCATAAATTCACACAAAATATTTGAACAAAAAAGAGAGAGTTTAAGATATAAAAACTATTTAAAAAATCAGTCAATTTTATTTAATTTAAAAATAAAAAATATTTAATCAACTAAAAACATACTTAAAAGATTAAAGTTACACATTATTCAAACTAAAGAAATCAGAGATGTAACTAAACCTTGCTTACAATATTGTACTTTACAGTATAACTTGGGTCCTTGCCATAACTAGTATAGAATAAAGAAAATTTGGGCAGGTGGAAAGCCCGAATACAGGCCCATTATCCTAAAGATAATTTAAATTTGTAACTGGTAAAGCCATATAGCATAATGAGATTCTACAAACGAGGGTCCGTAGGGACTGCTCTCACATTCATCATACATGCTGATCGATGATACCCCGATGAGCAACAATCTATATCCATGCTGCTTTTTCAATATCACACCCATAAGGGTTCTTAACCCCTACCTACCAACGCACTCAACCATCTTTTGAAAAAAAGAACACCTGACACCTGGGATAATAGATTGCAATTCTTGTGCACCTCTATTATTTGGTGAAGCATCACTTCTTCAGGACACTTTGTTTATTGCAATATATCATCCCTTTGTGTCACCCTAACAAGTGGCAATCATTGAAGAACCCAACTCCTCGATCGCTGCATCAAAACTAATAGAGGACATTCATGTGTATATCACAAAAATATGTTCATATAACGAAAGAATTTCATGTAAATATCGTGCCACATTCATGAGGACCTAGAAAAACAGCAAAATTAGTTTGTTTTTCTCCATGCGAAATATACATGCAAACTTTTTCATCGTAAGAATGTTAAAGCAATATATATAGTGGGTATGGAAACGAGTATTAGATATACTTTTCCAGTGCATCAAAACCAAGATTTAATTTGATACATGGGGCGATTTGTTAATGCATCATGGGGAAGTCGATTATGCAGGTTATTCTATTTTGGGTCTCTACCTAATTAATTGGACTGCAACGGTAAGCACTAGGCAGTACTCTCAATCTTTCTTATGTATCACATGATAGATTTTTCTTTTTTTTTGCCTATTCTATTAGATCGATTTTATGTATTGGCAAATGGCATGTGTTAATTTTTCAAAATAGCGAATACGTTTAGCCACCGACAGTGGAAGCAATACTAATAAGATTCTTTGTTTTTGTGCTCGTTATTGACAGTTTAATGGGATCCGTATACAACATTTACCAGCTTTTCCAAAGACTGCAATGCATAATATGTTAATGATGGTTTGGTTGCTCATAATGGTACCCCGATGTAATTCTCTAATTCCCAATAACTATTTTGAGTGGTAAACCCAGAAGACTACTAAGTAAAGCATGTCATTTCACAAACATGCGTACTGAAAAGCATTTGTGTATGTCACGCGCATAGCTGACTTTTGCTATCCAACTCAATTCTGTGCCATTGAATATGACTTTTCATATATAAGTCTATTGTGACATGATCTTTAAGCTGATAATTATTTGAAAGCAAATTAAAAAAATTACACTCTCTAGTTATTTTATAATTGTAGTTTAGTTTGAATACATTTATCAGTGAATATTTATAAAAGTAAAAATTTAAATAATAAAATTAGTAGTTTATTTCTCTATCTTCTTATAAGCTCTTTTATTTAATTTTATTAAACTTAAGAAGTATATAACTTATTTTTTACTTATGAAAGAAGTTTTTCATTTTTACTTTTCATATTAAATTCGTTCTTTTATAAACACTTTTCTTACATAACATGAACATGAGCTGGTTAAATCAATTACCTACTTCAATATTATATAGACAACAGAAAGACAAATTAAACACGTGAAAGTTATCACTCGTTGTTGAATAATTAGAAACAATAATAAAAGTTTAATTAACAAAAGCTTAATAATTGACATGAGGTGACTTCTTAAATAGTAGCAAAGAAATCTCACCGTGTATATGTATGCTGATAAATACCTGTATATTAAGAGTGTATCTTTGACAGAAACATTACAAATTGTGACTCGAAGTTAGAGAACACCTAAAAGGATTTGACTATATATTTCGTAGTTGTAATGCAAATGGCAGTGTTGATATTCTTTTAGTGATATTTAATTCAAGAGTGATAGGCATGCTCTTCTATATAAGGACCGCTTAGCCCTTTCCCCATGTCATCGCACAAAGCTTTGTTCTTCTAGTACTAATTGCTTTTCTTTCAATCTCTTATAATATATTCCTCTCTCTATATACATATCGATCTACTCTGATATGATGGAGAAGAAAGCCCTCATTAGTCTTCTAGTTATTCTTCTTGGTCTTTCTTGCCTTGTATTTGTTGCTGCTGTTCCTGTAACCAGTAAGTTTCAAGGGTTTGATCTAGAAACCTTTATTCGTTTGTTAATGTATTAAAATCAGGATTACTAATCTGATTCATCATGTTAATATAGGAAGCTTCATGACCGGGAAAATGGATCCTTTAGTGCAACATCATCTGCCTAAGGTTCTCTCTTTTTCCTCGCAGATTCCTTTTTTCCGCTCTAGGACAGATATTATTGCCACATATATATATATGTCCCAAAAAATTCCAAAAGAAAAAAAAAAGATATACAAAGAGACATGGTTATGCCTGATGCCCTAACTACTTGACACAATCAGTTTTAATTTCTCTTCACTAATTAATATTTGAAACTATCATCTTAGAAAAAAAAAAAAGAGAAAGTTAATAGGAAGATTCCATGTTCTGATATTTCCCTAATAAGAAACCAACTTTACAAATTATAACCCAAACCATATGGCTTTCTTCCTACTGTCATATATCTATAGGGTTATTGTCCTGTCCAAGTCCAATCATATAGTGGTGTGATGTTCTTTAATCTGCAGGAAGATCTGGTCATGGGGTTAACGAACAACGAGGAACTGTATGATATGAAGGAAGGAATAGAGAGTAGAATGATGATGGATATTGCAGACTACCCTGTAACAAAACCAAATCCAGCCCATGATCCAAAATCTCCTGGAAAGCCTTAACTTATATTCCATGATGTTCTTGGGAGGAATCAAGGGTATAATTAGTTATTATGTCTAGACTAAAGCTTGAACAAGTGGCTACATAATATATATACTATGGTTTCGTTGTCCTGGTTTACTATGTTTATAATGTGTTTTTTGATCAGCTGTTGGAAAGTCTATGATCTAATTAAGATCTATCCTAATGAAGTTCTCAGGTTAGCTTAGGTCTTTGGTATTCCACATATGACTGAAAGGCTTTCTGTAAGATATTTAAAAAGGTTTATGAGATAAGTTGAGGCTTGTATCTTTTGATAAACCTTGAATTCACTGGTGAAATTTGAACTAGCTTTTGTTTTACTCCTGATTAGTGTGGTACTGATCTACACAGGTATGATGTTAGTGTTAATCTAAATGAATGCGCAAAGCATGAGGATAATTAGAGCTAGAGGAAATTTTATCAAGCCAACTTCAAACGATAAAGCGTGTGTGTATGTCTGTGTTTATATTCACATTCTTATTTATCTTATGAATGTTAAATTAATTATACAGATCTGAAATGATATTCTGGAAATTAAGGTTGCATGTAGGATGCTACAAATTAAGTCTGGTATGTCTTCGGAGCATGGCCTAAAGACATTTCCTACTATCCCACCTTTTGTGTCTCCTATCTTTAGTGCATATTTTTGTTTTGTATTCTTTTATCGTGGTTTCCATCTTAATTGTTAGTGGGGTTCATCTCCTTTTGCCTCATAACAAAAGGAAAATGATGCAACAATAAATTTATGTGAAACGGGTAGAACCATGAGAGAAATAGAAAAAGAAAATATAAGATGATGTAATAAAAAAATAAAAGAAAAGAGGGTATGAAATATTCTTTAACAGATTAAATTTAAAATCAAGTTATAATAATATAAATTAATATTCTAATTATATTATAAAAAGACTAATTAAAAAGAGGATTCTTTAGTCCAATCCTCGTTTTCGCAAGAAAAAACTCTCTAAATTCAAGGTTTCGAACAGGATAATACTCGCAAGAATCCCTAATAAATGGAAAGAATTGCCATGGATCCCTAAACATGAATGTTACAGTAATGAACAAAAATTTAAGAAGCAAACAAAAAGATTTAAATTTTTGCTTGAGTATGAAAGAAATGATAAGTACGTAACCGAGTTTCACAAAATAGGCTTGGTTACATTTATGATTTCGAAGGTTTCGGGTTTCTTTATCTAATTGACGAGCATACATGTAAGAAGAGAATTTTCCTTTCTATTTACATGGATTGAATCTGTCAACTGTTAGATAGATTCTTTATGTTTTCTATGTATATATAATCCTCTCAATATATATTTCATAGTGTGCGAGCTTGTCATCGAATCAAGTTTTTGTATCTCATGCAAATATTCTTTTGATCAAGGTGAAAATCAATTGGTTGTAGTTGGGTGAGACATTGGTTCGAATCGTTTGTCGTCTGTAAAATGGAAAAATCACACTGAAAATTAAAAATAAAAAAAATTTCTAGCTATCGGTTGAAGACAACGTAAGATCCATTAAATAACGTATCATTCAAATAAATAAACGTACATATCGTAGTATGCCAACTATTCTCCATTAATTAACGTATCATTTATATAAATAACCGTAAATATCGTGGTATGTCAACTGTTCATTAACGTTTTGTTATTCATATCTCAGCCGATAGATTGGATAAAATATAATTTTTAGTCTTTTAAATTGTTAAATTAATTAATTTTTTTATTTTTAAAATTTAACAAATTTTTATTTTTATTTAAAACTCTTACATTGTTTTAATCAGTTTTTAAAAATAAATTATTTCTTGCTTAAAATATTGAGAAATTTATTAGATAAAAAAAATCAACAGAGGGTCTAAATTTATATAATTTTAAAGATAGAGATTTGATTAACTCAAAATTAAGAGATCATAACTTCACACAGTTCAAATTATAGAGACTAAAAATACTATTAAACCTAAAAAATTATATATTTACAATTGAGTATTAGGTTTATCTTTATTTAAGTACTTTATAGTTAATAATAGATTATTAATATAGATATTAGTAGTTTACACCAAGTAATATATATTAAATATTCTAACTTTAATAAAAGACACTGATGTATCATTGGTGCATCAAACTATTTGAATGATGTATTATATTACTTGCATAAACTTATGATATTTATATTAATAATTGGACGTTTATTAAACAGGATATACTAACGAGAGTAACTCTAACACTTAAGATTTTTCTATTACACTAATAGAAAAATTGGATATAGAGATGGATAAATTTTGTTGTTAAATATTTATTTTTTACAATATATTTATAGATGAAATTAGAAATAAACAATGATTAATTGCTAATTTTAGCGTCACAAATGTATTAGCGATGGAAATTTAATTTTATCATTATTTAGAGGCGAAGTTCTTTCATTTCTTAAATCTACTTTTTGTCTCTAATTTGAGAGATAAATTTTCTGTAATAGAGATAAAAGTAGTCCATCTCTAATATTATATATTTTGTATCTACAGTGACAGTATTTTTGTCTTTAATTTCATTATTAATTTTATCTGATTCTGCCCTAAATTTGAACATAATGTTATATCTAGATCTGTCTCTAAATTTAAGATATTTTTATCTCTAAATTTAAGATATTTTTATCTCTAAATTATTAATTATTTTGTCTCCATTGTCGTCTCTAAATAAAGAGTAAATTATGTCGCTAATTTTATCTCTAAATAATTTTGAATTTAATATAATTAAATTCAACATTTCCTATATACTTTCTTGTATATATTTTAAAAAATATAAAATAATAAAAATTAAATTTAAAATAGCCATATTTTACTGATAATAAATTGATATATTTTGAGTGAATACTGAAAGTATAAAATTAAAATATAATCTAACAAGTATTTTTAAAATAAGAAATTAAATAAGGTAATTTATTGTTACATGATTTATATTTTGAGAAAAAGAGTTATTTATTCTAATTAGAGACAGACTTTGAAACAAAAGAATCATGAAATGGACGATTTTTATCTCAACTTTAGTTGCAAATATATATTTGACTTTAGTTGACTAATTAGAGACAAAGTTGAAGACGGAATAAAATTGAGACAGCTATCTCTAAATTCTATTGCTATTATATTTTATATTATTAATGGTCTAAACAGAGACAAAAATAAAGACAGAAAATGTTGAGAGAAATGATTTTTATCTTGAATACATGAGATTTGTTTCCTTCCTTCAATTCATTTAATTAAGAAAAAGTGTCTCTATTCACTAATTGTAATTTTTCTAATAGTGTTAGCACGTGATAATTTTTGTGATATATCAGGAGATTTTATTTTCAATTCCTTTCTCACTTGTTCTTTTGAATCCGCTCGTGTTTATATGTTTCAAATTCTTGAATACAATGTATTCATATTCATACAATTTCCTTAAGATAATATCCTTTATCTTATCACGTAAAAAAAATCATTCTCGGCAAATTATATTTTTACTTATCTAAATTTAAAATTAAATAGTATGTACAGGTAGCTAGGTTAAATTGTTAAAAATTTAAATTCCTAATTTAATATTGTTAATTTCTAAGTTTAAGTTAACTAAACATATGCATTAGCCATAATATAAATAAGCATATTATAGATCAAGAAACCATGACCTGTAAAGCAATGGAAAATGATATATAGAATGATATAAAGACAAATCCTCATGTGTGCGTATTCCATTCCAAAACCATGATTGCAAATATCACATTATCCTTTATTTTATTGTATTCTTGACGATGTGCATATCTTATAAGGTAAAGCTAGAGGATGCAAACCAGCGTAGGGTATAGAACCAAAGTTAAAAAATTTGGCTTTCATTTGAGATTAATTGCTTTGCACATAGTCATTGTCATAAGAGACAACTGGTCCACATTTGTAAAGCGGTTCCTGCATCAAATGCACTATAAACTCGTTATTAGTGAGTGAATGTAAAAATTAACAATTAAACTTAAACAAGAAGTCATCATAAACTTTTGATTCTTTAATATTTAGATAAGAGACTTTGACAATTGATGATGATAATGATGGTGTCTTACCTTAAATGTAATATTTATATGTCACACCTATTTAAATTAATATATCTCCTCAGTCCAATAATGGCTGTGTTAAACACTATAAACAATGTATAAGATTTAGTACAAGTCCTATCACTGCATAAATGGACCCAAAACAAACTACTTGTATATGATTTGGAACGTAGTTAATGAGAGCAGGTAATGCTTTTCTCATTCACCGAGTTGGACCATTAATTGAGACTAACGAAACATGATTATGTCTTATTTTCTGAAAACAAACTTTTAATATCACTAGAGAATGTCAATTGAAAGGTAATGTTTCAAAAACTTGATTGGACTGATTAGTAACTGTTCCAATCACAAACTTTTTTATATAACTACTTTTATTTATATTGCCTAGTTCCATTTCGATGGAATCATTAATTTAATTAGTTAAACAAATCAAATCTTACAAAAATTCAATCTCTAACTTGCTTTTTAACCGAGAAAAACGTTTGAAAGTGGGACACTTGTTTTAGTGTTAACTAGATATTAAGTATATGGGAGTAGAAGTAATTTATAACCAGAACAGGAGTATGCATAGACTCGCAATAATTATATACATAACCAAGGGATTATTGGGAAATAGTAAAAATCTTTTCTTTAATTCGTTATTCTTCTATATTTAACTTTATCTCCTCCTCTTTTAAATTATTGGCTGAAGTCAATGGTTACGTTATTTTTTACAATTAATTGAAATTGTCACAACGCTGAGTTACGAAGTTGAAGTAACGTTAGCTGTATATTAATTATTAAAAAAGCTTAATTATATTTTTTTTACAAGTATAGTACCGTTTTGATAAGTTTTTATAAAGTTTTCGTTAAGATTCAGTTCTTAAATTATGTAAAAAAATTTAAAATTTATTTTTTTCTTTTAACTTTTTTTTTGGTT